CGGCCGCCGGCGCCGGCGCAGCCCCGAGCTGGACGAGTCGCAGTACGAGACCGACTACACCACGGCCGTGGAGTCCGGCGACGAGCGGGACCAGGACCAGTGGGCCAGGTGAGGGGGACAACCCTGGGAGAAACATCTCCCCCCCACCCCAGCCCCCAAAACTGCCCCTCCGGGGTCTGACCCTGCCCCTCTCCCGCAGCCTGTACCCCCCCATCTCCTCGGACGGCACCCGCCAGAAGTACAAGCAGGAGTTCGACACCGACCTGAAGCGCTACAAGCAGCTCTGCGCCGAGATGGACGGCGTCAACGACCGCCTCAACCAGCTCAGCAAACAGCTCGACAGCATCTCCGAGGACAGTCCCCAGTACCAGGTCTCCGGGGGCTTGCGGGGATCCTGTGGGGGCCACCAGGACGCTGTGGGGCATCGGGGGGAGGATGCTGTGAGGCACCTTGGATGTTGCGGGGCATCAGGGATGGATGCTGTGGGGCATGGAGATGCTGTGGGGCATCTAGGATGGGTGCTGTGTAGCACTGGGATGCTGTGGGGCATCAGGGATGGGTGCTGTGGGGCATCAGGGATGGGTGCTGTGGGGCATGGAGATGCTGTGGGGCATCTGGGGTGCTGTGGGGCATCATGGGGAGGATGCTGTGGGGCATCTTGGATGCTACAGGGCATTGGGATGCTGTGGGGCATCAGGGATGGATGCTGTGGGGCATGGAGATGCTGTGGGGCATCTGGTATGGATGTTGTGGGGCATTTAGTGTTGTGGAGCATCTGGAGTGGATGCTGTGGGGCATCTGGGGTGTTGTAGAGCATCTGGAGTGGACACTGGGGCAGTGGGACGCTGTGGGGCATCAGGGATGGACGCTGTGGGGCATCGAGGTGCAGTAGGGCATCGGGGATGGGGGGATGCTGTGGGGCATCTGGGGTGCTGTGGGGCATCTGGAATGGATGCTGTGGGGCATTTAGGGTGTTGTAGAGCATCTGGAGTGGACACTGGGGCAGTGGGACGCTGTGGGGCATCAGGGATGGACGCTGTGGGGCACCGAGATGCAGTAGGGCATCAGGAATGGGTGCTGTGGGGCATCAGGACGCTACAGGGCATGGGGGATGGCTCTTGTGGGGTATCAGGGGTGCTGTGGGGTGCAGGTCCCCTCGTGACCCCCCCCTTGTGCCCCTTCCCTCTGCAGGACGTGGCAGAGGAGTACAACCGGCTGAAGGACCTGAAGCGGGTG